CCGTGGCCATGGACCCTGCACCTAGGGTTCTTCGGTTTAGGGGTTTAGGGGTTTAGGGGCTTAGGGTAGAGGGGTTTAGGGTTTAGGGGTTTAGGGTTTAGGGGCCTAGGGTTTAGGGCTTAGAGGCTTAGGGTTTAGGGGCTTAAGGGTTTAAGCTTCTTCGGGATAAGGTTTAGGGGCTTGGGGGCTTAAGGGTTTAAGGTTCTTGGATTTAAGGTTTAGGGGCTTGGGGGCTTAAGGGTTTAAGGTTATTCGGTTTAAGGTTTAGGGGCTTAGGGGCTTAAGGGTTTAAGTTTGGGGGCTTAGGGGCTTAAGGGTTTAAGGTTTAGGGTTTAGGGGCTTGGGGGCTTCAGGGTTTAAGGTTTAGGGCTTAGGGTTAGGGTTTAGGGGCTTAGGGGCTTAAGGGTTTAGGGTTAAATGCTCTTTATCATACTGTTAATACTACTGATCGTGATAATAATAGTCATCATCATCATATTCATAATCAACATTATCATATCTTCCTGAACAAGAGCCCAGGCACTGGATGACAAGGTGAAGGCCCCACCCGGCGTTGGCGTCGGTGCGGTGGGCACAGATCCTTGGCTAAACCCTCAACCCTAAGCTCTCAGCCCTATACCGTGGGTCCTTAGTTTTAGGTTTAGGATTTAGGGTGCACAAAAACCCTAAAACCCCTAAAACCTAAGCCCAATACCCTAAGCTCTGAACCCTAAAACCTCAAACCGCGCCAAGATTTGACCCCACTTGGGGCAGCGCACCGGGGTCCCTAATCATATAAAGCCAATATACAAAAGTGTTAAGACCCCCTATTCACCTCTTATCATGCAAACCTTGTTATTGTCAGAACCTTCATCAAGTCTAACGCCCTATGCATACACCCCAAGCCCTTGGCCCTGAACCCTGTTATGTCGTATAAGGAGAGACGCTGCTGGGCGCCGTCATGGTAGATATGGAAGGTGTCCGGATACTCCTCGGCCGGTCGCACAGGGCTTAGGGTTTAGGGAATTCTGTATGGATTTCGCCAAGCATTCTGTAGAGGTTCTCTAGATTCTCAATTTGTTTGGGCTGTCTTGGGGTTTGACCTCCACCACTAACCTGACGCGATAATCCAGTGTTGCGAAGCTTCACCAAAGCATCGCAAACCCTAAATCCCAAATTCCACACCCCAAATCCCTGCACCCAGCCATAGCAAACCGTCACAGAGTTGGCTGCCGGTTGATGTCGGGCAAAGTTTATAAGCAGTAAGTACCCCGTGTAGAGACAACTGCCCTTCCAAGCAAAGCTTTCAGGCAGGGCTTCCGATTATGGTATAACGAAGGCACTATGAGGATTAGGGTTTAAGGTTTGCGAGGCGCCACCCTCACGCATGCATGGAAGTTGATGTTCAAGCTGACATATTGCAAGCAACTTCTTCAAACCAAACAAGGGGCCTTCGTTCCAGAGCTTAGATGTCGCAAGCACTTGCAGCAATCTCAACCGAGCGCTATTTCCGTTCGCTTTCAGTGCATTATACTCAGGACGCTATTAAAGAAAGGGGTTTATTGATCGGGGGTCTACATTAGGGGCGCCTCTATAGTTTTAGACAAAGCTCCCCAGTGCGTCCCTTCTGCTCAGCGCTGTCGTCACAATGCACATGACCGGGATCGGCCACACACTTCGTGGCAGAGTCCGGATTGCTCCCGAAGACGACCTCACCTTCGCGCATTGGCTTTATCAGGGTTTAGGGATTAATTGCGGTTTAGGGGTTCACGGTTTGGGGTTTGTGGACTCACTGCAGAGATCTGTGGGATTTAGAATAGTGCCGAGCGGCTTCGAAAAAGATTTGGGCGATTCTGTACTGTGGGGTTACGAAGGAAGCGCTATACTTCAAGGATCCTTTAACCCACCCAAACCCCATTTCAAATATCAAGGCCCTTAGGTTAAACTCCCATAAGCCCCTATAGTAACCCTTATTATAGGAACCTAAAAAAGGAAGCCTATTCTCATTACTCTAATATACACCCCCCCCACCCCCCACCCTAAACCCTAAACCTTAAAACCCAAAAGGCCCCTGCCCTGGAGTCCCTTCCCTGGGTCCCCCCACCTGCTGAGCTGGAGGAGCTCTCGCCGCTTCCGCCTCCTCCGAAGTGGCCGCCGTGGCCGTGGACCCTGCACCTCGGTTCTTCGGTTTTGGGCTTAGGGTTCAGAACCTGGGTTTAGGTTTTAGGTTTTTAGGATATAGGATTTAGGTTTTTAGGATTTAGGATTTAGGGCTTTAGGGTTTTTAGGGTTTTTAGGGTTTTGGGTTTAGGATTTAGGATTTAGGGTTTAGGGTTTATAAACCCTAAACCCTTGACTGAAGCTACCGTAATGCTTGAGAAGGAACTTATCTGAAGTTGCGGAAACTGATAAGGAACCCATGTTAGGGTTTGGGGTTTAGGGTTTAGGGTTTAGGGATGTTATTTGCTACAGATCTCCATTGTGGTAACGTAAAATAGGTTCCTTAACAGGACCCAGGCACTGGATGACAAGGTGCAGGCCCCAACCGGCGTTGGCGTCGGTGCGGTGGGCACAGATCCTCGGCAGCACAAACCCTATAGGGTCCATGTACTCAAATACTGTTGATGATACAAATCCTGCATTGTCTTAAGGATCTTAAACTATGGGAATTATGGTATATCCCTTGTTGTGGGTAATGCAGGATGTATATCATACCGTGGTATAAACTTTAGGCCCAAAGTGCCTTTATGGGGACGACTTTAAAGCTAGAGTATGAGCTATATGAGTACATGAACCCATTGGGAAATGCACAAACCTCGGCAGGGTGCCGTGGCACATTCTGGAGCTTTCCACCTTTTAGCAAAGACTCTGGCCGCCGTTATGGTAGATATGGAAGCTGTCCGGGTACTCCTTGGCCGCTTCTCAATCGAAACTTTGGAGCATGGACTATCGTGAAAAACTCAGGGAGATTATATATACATATGTATGTATAAAACTATATAATGATATAATTATATATTTATATAGGTATATATATATATACCTATATATATATATATATTGCATACATACAGACATACTATGCAATATTTTCCACCCGTCCATGCATCCATCCGTGTGCACAGACATGATAACATGCATGCCTAACACGGTTGGTGCATGCACTCCACTGTGCAGCGATACACAAACAGATCGGAAGAATGAAACACATGTGTCACATTCTGTGCATGTGTACATACATACATACATACATACATACATACATGCATACATACATACATACAGACAGGCAGACAGACAGACAGACCGACAGACACACACACACAAGCAGGTATAGAGGCAGAGTGCGAGAAGTGGAGCATGCGCACAGAAAATCCGATAGAGAAACCGAAGCAGAGCACAGCCGGGAGAGAGAGGGAGAGAGAGGGCGAGAGAGAGAGAGAGAGAGAGAGAGAGCGACAGACAGACGCATAATACTAACTGCCCAGGGCTTTCTCTTGATTCTCGTCAGGGCTGGAATCGCCCAAGAAATGCCACAAGCAGCTACTATCTTCGAGGTTGACGCTGTTTGTAACGAAGGCCACTGATGAAACCACTCCCTTCCACAATAAGGAATGCGAATTATCAAGAGAGGGGGTTTCATGAATCAGGGGTCTAGGTGAATCCCATACGCCCTATGAAATTCTCGTAGAGCCTTAGCCAAATTCTCATAAGTCCTTCCCTAATGACAATAACCTTTGAAGCCTTTTACATGGATACAGCCTGATCAAGAACCCTAAAACCCCTTATACTTGGACCGCTGGAGCGTTCAGCCCAGAGAACCCAATATCCCTGAATTCAGGAATATGCCTTAAATTATAGGGGCCTTAATATGATGATTTAAGGTCTATTCTATTCCTTAATTAAGGGGTATTGGGTTCTCTGGGACGATGAGGCGATTCGGGTTTGAAGTTTATGGGGCTCGGGGCTGGCAGGGTTTAGGGCTTGGGGCTTGCATGGCTTTATCGTGCTCTTTAGGGTTTGGGATTTACAGCGCTTAGGGTTTTGGGTTTTGGGGGTTTTGGGTTTAGGGTTTGTGCAGCGCTTAGGGTGTATCCATAGGCCCCTATGTAGTTCCTTTTTGGGATTACCAGGATTCTAAATATAAACCACAAAAAGGAACTACCTAGGGGCCTGTGGGTAGGTCTTGCGCTCTCAGACAAAGCTCTCCGGTACGACCCTTTTGCTCGGCAGTGTCGTCGCAGTGCACGTGGCCCGGATCGTCCACGCACTTCCTTAGCTGACTTCATGTCATTTCAATCTCTGCGCAACGTTTAGGGGGTCCAGGAACCAGACCTTGAACTGTAGGGCTGTACTAGATAATTCGGGTTTAGGTTTAGGGCAGGGTTCAGCGAGCTGGATTGTAGGGTTACTAATTCGGGTTTAGGTTAAGGGCAGGGCTTAATTAGGAAGCTTCCATCGAATTTGGTGTTGATTTAGAACCAGATGGCATGTATGCAGATGCGGTTACATCTACAAGCTCCTTGGACACATAGCAAAGAAGTTATTGTTAATAGTTTGGGTGTATATTATGACCAAAGAAACTTGGATCTGTACGGGACAGCCAAGAAGTGAACATATGAAATGTCCCTAAACCCGAAGCCCTAAACCCCTAAACCCGAAGCCCTAAACCCTAAACTCCTAAACCCTAAACCCTGAACCCTAAACCCTAAGCCCTAAGCCCTAAACCCGGAGTGCCAAGCTGCGTGGCGGAGTCCAAGTTGCTCCCGAACACGATCTCGCCTACTCAAAAGATAGGGCTTTAAGGCTTTGGGCTTAGAGGTTTAGAGGTTTAGGGGTTTGGGGTTTGGGTTTAGGGTTTAAGGCTTTGGGTTTAGAGGTTTAGGGTCTAGGGCGGCTTTGGGTTTAGAGGTTTAGGGTCTAGGGCGTACTCACATCTGCTCCATGCCCAAAAAAGCTGCTTGGATTTAAGTTTCGTTAGCAAGATCTGGTTCAGGGCGCCGATTGCCTTTTTTTATCATCCACAGCATCACTTAAGGAGCTTCGGAAAAACGAGGGACCCCATTAAAAGCCTGCTCGGGTGTTTACTGGGTTTCGGGTTTAGGGTTCAGGATTTAGGGTGTAAGGTTTAGGGGGTTTTATTTAAGTTACCAGAATGGGGATCTATAGTAACTAATCTGGCTTCTTCATTATGGCAACTTACATAAAACCCCCTAAACCACGACAGTTTATGGGGGAAACCCTTCTTCCATACTGGCTCCTGTAAAATAGCAGGCCTCCAAAAGTATTGAACGCGTGGTACTTTGGAGTCTAGGGTGCTTTTATACCCATAGGCCCCTAAGTAGATCCTTTTTGGGATTATCATTATTATAGGATTCTAAGTAAAAACCATAAAAAGGAACTACTTAGGGGCCTATGGGTAGTATCGTATATTATTTTCTATTACAGTAGAAGTCCAAAAGTCGGAAACCCAATAACCTAAATCCTTAAGAGTAATGTCTAGGGAATCTCAGCACTAATTGTCCTCAACCCGGTTTCCAACTTTGTGGGCTTTACTATAAATCATTTTAGCATGTTATAGTATATCCCTAAACCCTAAACCCCAACACCGGGGCGGAGGTCCTTGAGCAGAGCAGTGCGAGCAAACACCCCTAAACACTAAACCCCTGAAGGCCTTAAACCCCTAAACCCCTAAAATCCCAAAGCCCTAAACCCCTAAAAACCCAAAAAACCTACACGCCAAAAACACCCAAAAGCGAAAAAAGCCCTAGGCAGAGAGCGCAGTGGGGGTCGGCCTCGGTTCTGCGCATAGTGGCCCGCAAAGCTCGACGTCTTTCTGCACCTCCAGCCGCGGTTTAGGGTTTAAGGTTTTAGGGTTTAGGGTTTTAGGGTTTTAGGGTTTTAGGTTTTTAGGTTGTTAGGTTTTTAGGTTTAGGGTTTAAAAAGTTAGGGTCCACCATTCAAGCCATCACTCCAAAACGCCCTAGAGAAAGAGGCTTGGCTGACTTCTGGACCCCTCCGAAAAGGTCAAACTCTTCGTCTCCTTAGTATATTTCATATAGAAGCCCTAATAAGCTAGAGTCCTAAGAGCTAAAACCAGAAGAACTCCAAGGACGGTTTTGGGTTCAAAAGAGACGAAAAAGAAAGAGAAATTCGGGTCCTTTTGGGATCCCTTTCAAAAGAGTGCCGTACTGTATTGGGGACCTAGACCTAGAAAGGGACTCTAATTCAGAGAGAAAGAGGGAGATAGGGAGACAGAGTGGTTGTTCAAATCTACCGAGCCTCTGTGGCCTGAAATCAAGGGGTTTAGCGTGGTTTAGGGGGTTTCGGGCTTAAGGTGGTTTAGGGTTTGCTGCTTACCTCAACCCACAAGAAGTAGAAAATAATTAAAATAAAGGCCCAACACCTATATTATAAAAAGACTACTATTCTACATACTTTTGGGTTCCATGTAGGGAATAGGTGATCCGGGGTAGATTTGCTGTGCAGAGCGCCAAGAGGCACAATGATAGCAACCGTCGCAGATTTTGGAGCCTGGGTTATCGTTCCCGGTTTCACCGTACTACAAGGAGGCCTAACAATGGTCCCCCTACTCAATCCGAGCAGAGCTAGTTGCACCGCTTTCGGTGTCCAAAAATTCCCTGAGAAACCAGAGCCAAAGCAATTCCTTTGATTCCAGTTGTCAGACATTTACCGTTTTAACTTGAGATGTTCTCTGTATCAATGTTGCTGTTGAGGGCGGCTCCCCGAAATCGTTATCCAAAATATCCCGGAAGGACCACTTCGCGATCGTAAGCCCCCCACACCACTGCCACGTTGATGCCCCAGCCGGCGTCCGTGTCAGTCCGCCGTGCGCAGATCTGCCGATAACGAGCTTCAGGGTCAGGAGTTAGCTTGAACAAAATAAGTACCCTAAAAGGGGTCCTATTTGGGGTTATGGGTTTAGGGTTTAGGGTTTAGGGTTTAGGGGGTCCTATTTGGGGTTATCAGTATATATGGGTACTGTTGATGATATAAATCCTGCCTTACCTCAAGGACCCTAAACTGTGGGAATTATGGTATAGTCCTTATACTGGGTAACGCAGGATTTGTATCATCAACCATAGTTCTATAAGGGTGCGGTACAAGTTTGGGGACCCAAAAAAAGGGACCCTAATTTAGAGAACTACCCATATGACCCCAATAGAGGCCCTGTTTGTCGGGTGGTCCCACCTCTTGACTACGAAACGACAAGCATCGTAGCCCATTTCAACTGCTCACATTGTCTAAACGCTGCGCCCAACACACCCTTGACCTGACATAGTGGATATCTGAGCTCAACGGCCTGATTGCTTGTGTCAACGGAGCCTTGGGGTGTGTAGCTATCTTGAAATCGTAGTACTACAGCTTGACTCATCCTGGCCTGCTCACCGTGGTGATAGATGTGGAACTCGTCGGGATACTGGCCGCTGTGGTCTTTGAGCACCAGGTTCCGTGGGCAGTCAACCGGTCCTGATCATCGTATCGCAGGCTTACAGCCACAAAGCGGAAAACGCGCTAGCTCAGCCGCATGCTTAACAGCCACTTACTACAGTTCTACAGTATACTACCATGGGAACCATGCCAGCACTGGCAGTACAGTGTGATGGCTGCGATGATGATGATGATGACGCTGATGATGATGATGATGATGGTGATGATGATGATGATGCTGATGATGATGATGACTATGACGATGACGACGGACGATGATGCTGCTGATGACGTTGGTGGTAAAGACAATGCTGATGATGATGATGATGCTGTTGATGATGATGATGATGACGATGATAATGATGATGATTGATGATTATGATGATGACCATGATGTTCAACACTTTGTAACACCAGTGTCGTTGAGATCAGGAAGCAATCAATGCAACTATAAGCAACAACATGCAAGACATGTGCTGTTGGTGTGGTAATTGCTGTGATCAGCCTGTTGCCATTATCGCCGCCGTGTTTTGGTTTACATCGGTCCGGCACTTACGGCCATCCACCTGTATGGAGGCTCGAAGAGCCCCATTCGGGCTTCGGTTTAGGGTTCACGGTTTAGGGTTTAGGGGTTTAGGTTTAGGGTTCATGAGCTTCAGGTATGACAAGACTGACACGGTAAAATTACATCCAGCCGCTTTTTCATGCGGAAACCGTGGTGCGAACGGCACTCACCTCCATAGGCATACTTTTGGGGCACTGTAGAACTACCAATACTATCCTTAGGGTTCCTTACCATAACAACCATCTACTTATTGTAGACGCAACCGCAAAACCCTCTTCTGAGGATCAGTTTAACGAAAACCCTGTGGCACTGCTGCGCACACCCTAAACCCTAAACCGGGTGACCAGCAGCCCTCTGGCTAAACCCTGATGTTGGGACCCGGGAGAGTCGGGGATCCGATGTCCTTGGGCATTCTACCACCGGTCGCTACCATGAAAACCCGGAAACCGCAGTCAATCATTTCAAGGGGTCCTTATTCTTCGAGCTCTCGGCTGTCCTGGCGGATCCTGACGAAAAAATTTAATTTAAGCTACCATAGCTGAGGTCTACAGTAAAGAACATTTTTTCCTATTATTATGGTAACTTCAGCTCAGTTCTCCAGAAAGCCCCGTACACCTTAATTAAGGAATGTATCTTAAAGTATATGGGGCCTTCATATTATGATTTAAGCTACATTCCTTAATTAAGGGGTATAGGGCTCTCTGGGTCGTTACCAACCACGAGGTCCTGGTGGGTCCACACACTTCACATTCTCCTTGAGACTGCTCCCGACCACTACCTGGCATGCTTCTTTTCGAGATGCCGGGGGGCCGAAAAGTCAAGAGAGACGGTTTTGAGGTTTAGGGTTTATACATTACACTAGACCCCGCAACCCTTACATCTTTGGGCGCTTGTTTAACTTGTGCTCCATACACTATGCAATACCGTTAGTATGTTCTTTTGAACGTCATTTCATTAAAACACTAAACCCGGAGAACCCAATACCCCTTAAATAGGGAATATACCTGAAATCATAATATTAAGCCCCCTATAAATTATAATTTAAGGCATATATTCCTTATTTAAGGGGTATTGGGTTCTCTGGGAAGATGAAACACACCCTAAACCCTAAACCCCTAAACCCTAAACCCCCAAACCCTAAACCCCTAAACCCTCGCATCATGCAGGCTTTTTCGCCCATCCGCGGCAGTTCGTCTTCGTGATCAGCTCCAGGGGGGCTTGACGTTGAGACCCTAAGACCCCGCAACCCTAAAGTTACTGACTGGTTCTTTTATCGGATCCTTAAGGGAGGGTGGTTCAAACGGGGAGGGTCCTACGGATCCTTAGGGAGCTTTAGGGAACCTAAGGGAGGTGTAGGGAGACTTGGGGATTATTGGGCTATATACCCCTCTTAGAACACCCTCCCTTAAGGATCCCATAGTTCTTAGTAGGGAATGGGGGAATGGGTTATTGGCACTACAAAAGGGGACCTTAAGGGACTATCATAGGGATCCATTCCCCCCATTCCCTAATAAGAACCAGGGAGGCTATAGGAAACCTACAGGTGGGGAGTTTAGGGTATATAGGGCTTTTATAAGGCTTCTACAAGGTATATAGACCTTCTATAAGGCTCCTATACGGTAACTACCCACCTGAAAATGTCCTAGACTAAAGCCTAAACCCGAAACCCTAAAGCCTAAACCTCTAAACATACGGGTTGGAAAAGGCTTCTCGATGAGTTCTATAAGGGTGTTACGGGGTGTAGGGTTGGGTAACTGGTTTAGGGTTTAAGGTTACTGGGTTCTTGTTGCGGGATGTAATTTAAGTTGCCTTAATTAAGAAACCCTATGATTTACAATAGATCCCGATTATGGTAACTTAAACTAAAGCCCTTAGCAAGAGCTCAGTAGAGGCGTTAAGCATTGTGTATTAAGAAAACCTAAGGAAATGTTACCAAGACAGAAGCCTGTATAAGTGCATAACTGGTATTACTCTTCCGCAGGGCTCCCTGGTATTAGCCCAAAGGGTCCTAGGTACTGGCATGGGGGATACTTTCCCAAATCATAATAATAGTTCCTAATATAGAAACCCTACATTCTACCATATAGGTACTTAGGAACCTTTGGGAAGTATACCTTATGACACACCAATACCCTAATCCCATGACTGTCTAAACATCAGGGTATTTTTCTAAATTAGAGTCCCTTTCGTGGTCCTTCTTATAAGGGTGCCGTACTATATTGGGGGCCTAAGAAGGGACCCCAATGTAGAGAACCACCCATCGACCCAGTCAAGGCTTGCTTCGCAGAGCTGAGGGGAAGCTCCAATGCACCAGCACACTCCATTAGATACTCAGAGGCATGCAAGTTCTCCTTGGTGGCGATGCGCAAGTCAACCGCCACGATCTTCACGCTCTCGAATGTGTGTATAAGCTGGTTTGTTTGTTTACCAGCTCTCATGTTCCCCCTGGCATCAAAGAGCACCTCAACGCAAGGTTTGATGAATATGTGTTTGGTGCCATATCTGGTGAGCGAGCTGTAATTCTCGGCTAGATGGCGATTGATGGGCCGATGAAGATAGACACCTCCTCTGTCAGTGAATGCTCGAGTCCCCGGGATTCCTGGGTCACTTGGCAGCAGCATGCCCGTGGCAAGGATGGCATGCATACATTCCAGATGTGTTCCGTGGAATCCTGTATCTGCCTGGGCGTCGCTGATGTCGAGATGATTGGGGGCTGTGAAGGGGAACCTGTACCAATATCCCGGATAGGCGGTAACCAGGTGCATGGGTAGCTAGAAGTGCTGTTATAAGTAGGGATTCCATAAGTATAGCTAGTATAAGCCCTATTAGCTGACTTCTGACCCCACTTATCACTACCCAAAACCCTAAACCTTAAATCGTAACGCCTAAACCCTAAACCGTAAAAAAGCCCGTAAAGGTGCCCTGCTTCTAACCCCACTTACAACCCTGCAAGGGAGGACGTGGCCTTGATAGCTCCGAGCTGGGTGCGGCTATGACTGAAGGCCTGAGACTGAGACTTCTGGATTTTGGTTTAGGGCTCAGGGTGTAGGGTACCCGGAGAGCCCAATAGCCCTTAGTTTAGGAATGTACCTTAAACCATAATATTAAGGCCCCTATAATTTAAGGCATATACATTGTTTCAGGGGTATGGGGTCTTAGGGTTTGGGTTAAGGGTTCAGGGTGTAGGCTCTAGGGTTTAGCGTTTAGGGTATAGGGTTTTTGACTTCGCGGTTTGGAGATTCGGGGGTTTCAGGGATTAGGGTTTGAGGTGTTGGGGTCGTAGTGTTTAGGAAATTGTTGTCCTTTGTTGATATGTGCAGTGCCACTGGCGCAAGGGATTCCACTATCACTGGGATTGCTGGTAATTTTGGCTTCGTTTTCTGATGTTCAAGGTGGAATGCTCGTAATGATGCTCCCTAAACCCAAAACCCTAAAACCCTACAGCCCTAAAGTTCTATACAGCTCTAAACCCCAAACGCCTCAACCCAACCCGAAATCCCAGATTCCTGTCATCACTCAAAGCTTAACCTGTAGGCTTCTCAGGGATCCAGAGTAAATCATAGGGTTTCTTTTATGATGGTAACTTAAGTTTAAACCCCCTTGACTACAAGAGCCCGAAACCCTAAAACCCACTAAACCCTAAACCCTAAAACCCCCTAAACCCCTAAACCCTAACCCCCCTAAACCCCTAAACCCCTAAACCCCTAAACCCTAAACCCCGGCATCCTAACCCTACCACCCCGTAACACCTTTGTAGAACTCACAGAGAAGCCTTCCCGAACCCTTAGGGTTTAGCGTTTTAGGGGTTTAGGGGTTAGGGGATTAGGGTTTAGGGTTCAGGGGTTTAGGGGTTTAGGGCTTAGGGTTTAAAGGGTTTAAGGTTTCGGGTTTCGGGTTTATTATGACAGCTGAGCTCTGTGTCCGCGACCGCACTCCCAACTCTGAAGTACTCACAGGATCCCCCAACCTCTTCCATTACTTTTGCGGCTTAAGGGTTTAGGGGTTAGGGTTTAGGGTTTAAGGGTTTGGGTTTTGGTTTTAGGGTTTAGGCTTTAGGGTTTAGGGTTTAGGGTGAAGGGTTCAGGGTTTAGGGGTCATTAAACACATTAAAGAATAGTCGGCACCTCTAGTAACTTAGTAGGGGCCTGCAACCAAGGGCCCTTAAGCTAAGGTCGAACTCTTATACATCAAACCATCAAGGCCTTACAAATGCCTGGAAATCCTTTGACCCTGGCAAAAGCCGCACACAACCCAATAAGGCCGGAATAAGACCCGACAATAACCCGAAAACCCTAAACCCCTAAACCCGAAACTAAACCCTAAACCCCAGACCCTAAACCCTAAACCCCTAAACCCTTAACCCTAAATTTAAATCCTAAACCCCTAAACCCTACGTGAACTAAACCCTAAACCAAGCGCGTTCATAGCCGATTTGCTCCAGATCTGCTGTGTCTCGACTGGGAGGTCGCGGCCT